GGTATCTCATATTTATCGAATTCGACTGAACCCAAGGCAGCTTTCTAGTTACTTTCGCGGGCGGATTAGTGCCCACGTTCGTCATAATAAAATCTCTTATAATAATAGTTCGTTTTCGGAAAATGTAAAAATAATTCAAGTACCGTAATAAAGAAATCACTTGCATCACTCGCGATCAAAATTTTCCGTCGAATAGAGTCCCACGTTTCACATGATGAATACCTTTGTATCTAGTACACGAAATCCTAATTTACGTTTGTCGGTATACATATTCCAATTAGTTCGAAATCATTTCCTCATACTCCAACTTTCGTTCTACATGCTTCACTGGAATATTATTTGGAAATCACCATGGGATACGTATCAGCAGCAGATGGATACATTTCATATTGAAACTTCTGCCACTGGTGGCCTTTCTATCAGAATGTTTGAATCATATTGAATGTGATCGAGGAAACTTCGGCATTGATTATTCTTTTATCTATGACAACATTCTCGATTACCCTTGTAAATTAGATATATGCTATCTCCTGTCAATGTTGATTGACTACCTCCGAGTATTCCCACAACTCAGACGGTCTCCTGAGACAATTCTTCTGCACTTCCTATTAGAGAAATTCTTCCATGCCACAGGGTTTCTTTGTGAAAAATACTATAAATGCTTTCGAACAACTTGCACTCTTTCAAAACGGTCCCCGTGTCGCTGTGTACCTAGCATCCGTTCGTGGCCAGATCAGTGAGAAGAGGTGCACATCACAAACGAATTCTTTCGACACTGTAAGATATACATTATGATCATTTCAGTGACACCTGTACGGGGTACCGACACTCCACTTTTATCAACAGCTCAGTGGTCCACAAATGCTACTACGGTTGCTGGTGGAAACGGCATCGGTGGTCGTTTGGATCAACTGAATCGACCCTCTGGCTTATACCTGAATGAATATGGAATATTATATGTGGCTGAGTCCGCCAATCACCGTGTTGTGGCTTGGACATCTGGAAGTACGTCTGGTGAAGTAGTTGCGGGTGGAAATGGAGAGGGAAATGCATTGAATCAATTAAATCGTCCATCGGATGTGATCCTTGATCGAGCAACTGACCATTTACTTGTATGTGATCGTCAGAATAATAGAGTCGTACGTTGGCCACATCATAATGGCACTCGTGGAGAAGTCGTTCTCTTTGATATCGCATGTTTCGGTTTGACAATGGATGATCGTGGATTTCTCTATGTTGGTGTCGGAGAGAAGAATGAAGTTCGACGCTTAAAATTAGGGCAATCGGAAGGAACGGTTGTTGCTGGTGGGAATGCCAGAGGTGATCGTTTCGATCAATTGAACTTTCCAACATATCTATTCGTCGATCGTGATCATTCTTTGTACGTGTCGGACTCCCAGAATGATCGTATAGTAAAGTGGGTAGAAGGCGCAAAAGCAGGAAAAGTGGTAGCTGGTGGTAATGGTCCAGGCAATGACGTCAAGCAACTGTCCAATCCAATGGGAGTACTCGTGGATACAGTGGGTACTGTTTATGTAGCAGATTCTGGCAATAATCGTATCATGCGTTGGCCGCAAGAACGTACTGAAGGCAGTGTGCTCGTCGGCCAAAGTGGAGAAGGACACGGTTCTACTCAGTTAAATAAACCTGCTGGTTTATCTTTCGACGGAGAAGGTCACCTGTACACTGTTGATTGGGAAAACGGTCGTGTACTAAAATACATTTATTCACGTAGGTTGTTTTTTTCTCCTTTAACATTTTCCACTACTATTGGTTCTTTGCTATCTGTCTGTAGTAACAACTTGTCATATCGCTAAGCGCTCCTATCACTAGAGCAGCTGTATATTTCCATGTCTGAAGTGTCTGTTGTGTAAAGATCTTTCATAACATTGCTCATATTCCCTCAAACTACAGTCGGGAAATGTATCAAAGTTGCCATGGTATGGTGATTATAAGGATGAGTTTCATAAAGAATACATGTTTAGTGAATGAAAACCTGAAAAGGTGGCGATTAGCTATTTCTCTGGTTATTCGTGTGGGTTTTATGGAAGTTTCATACCATGAATCTCTCGAGAACAGAAGTAGACAAAACGATGAACAGAGAATTTGTCAAGGAAAGCTTATATGTAGCGGTGAAAAGCTCACCCTTCGCTCTTCAGATGCAATAAAGTCACGTGGATGTGTTAGATTCTAACGCAATATTAATCCATCTCGAGAAACCATATGAAATGAGCACATGTTTTTTGAATTCTGTTGGAAGTACTAGAACTATCAGGAATTCCCTTGAAGTTTTCGGATTTCTAATGAAGTGTATTCCAGTCACTTGGAATATAGACGAACTTACATGAAGACTGATGAAGTCATATTAATCCTGGTGAAATGTTTGACTGGTTTAAGTCTGTATTGTTGAAATCACCTGAGGCTACAAGAAGACTTCTGAAATGTCTGAATGTCGTAAAGTCTTAAGAGAAATGTCCCTTCAGCAGCTAATGTCTTCCTCTATTGGTCCTTCGTAGAGTGGTTTGTAACATCCTGCTTGTTTCTTAAATATATTCATTTAGTTATGTCCGAATCCGTTTTCCACCGCGTTTGCGAAATGGTGCTCTCCCTCCTTCCGCTTCCCAGAAGCTGGGCGATTTCATGCGTTCTTCACTAAATCCGTGGAAAGCTAATTTTGACTCAGCGCTCATTTCGCTTGAGTTCGTTGCCATCCGCGTAGAGCTATCTGAAATTTTCTGCATTTACTCCTTCAGAGTTAGTAAACCTGCTTGCTCAAATACTAATAATCAGATTTCCTATGCGCAGTTTAAGAGTTTATCGGTTTTGTAATGTTATTTTATCTTCTGAAGGTGTATATCATGTCATTCTTCGTGAAACTCGCATGGTTGAAGGTAGCTCACGTGCAGTTTTCGAATTGGATTGGATCCAAGGAAAATTTGTTTCCATTCTGTCGGCCGGATTCATGCGCACATTTCTGACAATAAAATCTCTCATAATTGTTGATCAACTTTTGAATAGACTTATATTTAATTTAGCAATAAAATAATTTAAATGAGCAATGATCAAATTTAGTAATAATTATATTGAATGAGCAATAAGTATATTGAATGAACAATAATTATATTGAATGAGCAATAATTCATCTAAACAAAAAATAGATTGTGTAGAAAGAGGGCAATATTGGTTCATTTGTTTACAAAGATAGGTACTTTTTTCAATTTTATGAGATAGAATACAAAATTTATATAAATGGCTCAATCACAAGGTATCGTGTAATATAAATATGGGGTGGGTATAAGTGGGAGGGCCGTATATATCAGTATTCATTTTGCCCACATCCGCCCACCAGCACCAATACTGTAGTTTCTCTTATTCTTTATTAAAATATGAAATTACTATACTATTTAATGATTTATTTATTGCTCATTTAATGTTATAAAATTGCTTTAATAAAGTTTTCTTGTTGTTCAAAAATTATTGCCAAATCATATTTTAATTATTGCTCATTGCAACATTTTTATTGCTCAAATAAATACAAGCCTTTTGAAAATATAAAGATACTTCAACCATCGTTATACAGAAAACCCCGTGCATTACTCACTATAAACAGTTTCTTTGCAACACAGGGAACTTTTAACCTCCTGAATGCATTTGTATCTAGTGCACGAAACTCTGATCTACGCTTGTCGTTGTATATGTTAACATTTGCCCGAAAAACTTTAGTACTATTTGAAGACTCCTCAGAGTTGCTTTTGAGAAATATAATTTCGAAACCAAAATTTGATATATGTCCGTTGCACTTCCCAGTCAAGCAAAAAATCAGGAAACGCGTTTAAACACTATAAAAATCGTGAACGTTTTCGGATGCTAATCACGGTTCCCGGTTATGACCCAGAAACGTTCAAAAAGCGCCAACATGAAAACGGCAAAATATTTATCAGCGTTTAATATTATGTACAAAAAACGTTTACTTCTTGTGTAAAATAAACTGTAGACAAAAACTAAACGTGCACTTGTCGATCTTTTTTAACGTTTCCTAATGACAATCGGGATCCGCGATTATGCACGTAATCCGACCAATAAAATTAGGTGTGAAAACTCTGAATTTCCACCTGCACACATTTTCTCACAAATTACATTTTCCATAATTTCAACCGTGTACTCAGCCTCATTTTAAAGAGGTTTCCACTTCCCAATCGAGACCCGTGATTGTCAGCATCACACAATCATTAAACTGCATCCTGAAAACGCTAAATTTTACCTTACAATGAACTTCACATCGTTTCTATGCTATATTAGTTCAAATTTACACTCATCCTAATTTTCGAGACACGTCTAGCTCACGATCCGCAACCTCGATTGTCATCATGCAACTCCTAACAAAAAAGGCATCAAAACGCTTACTTTTTCAGGACGCGAAAACTCCAACACGCCCATATTGCACATTCTCGAACGTGCTCCACACGTAATTAACTCTTATCAGCATCTAACCATCGACAACTCCAAATGCTATCCAAATACATAGCTTCTCCATTTAATGGCCGCTCAAATTGAACATGTCCCAATCTAAACATACAGAAATAAATATTATAGTACTTTCTAAAATAGATTATTATATACCTTTATCATTTTCCTTAATCTCAAATTCGATCTAAAGATAAAAAAACAGATAATATATCAATTTCTGAAATAGACTATTACATACCTTCAACACTATACTTGATTTTTAAGTTCGATGTAAATATAAATAAATATAATATCAATTTCTAAAATACATTATTACACATCTCCACCATTGCATTTGGCCTCGAATTCAATCTAACTGCAAACAAGAAAATATTTTATTACGTTCTAAAATGTATCACTACATATCTTCAACATTGTGCTTGATCTCGATATTGATCTAAATATAAACTAGCAAACATTATATTAGTTTGTAAAACACAAAGTTCCATACCTTCAACATTGTTCTTCATCCGGAATTTGATCTCAATATAAATAAATAAACGATATATTAGTTTCTAAAATAGTTTATTACATACCCTTATTATGGTACTTCATCTCAAAATTGATCTAAATAGAAATTAGAAAATTTTTAATTCATTTGTAAAATACATGGTTACATACCTTCAACATTTTACTTCATATCGAATTCGATATAAATATAAATAAAAAGATAAATATTATATTTTTTTCTACAATAGATTATTACATACCTTTATCATTGTATTTGAACTCGAAATCGATCTAAATGTAAATACGGAAATAATATATTAGTTTCTAAAATACGTGATTGCATACCTTCAACATTGTACTTGATATGGAGTTTCATCTCAATATAAATAAATAAATAATAGATAAGTTTCTACAATAGATTATTCCATACCTTTATTAATATTGTACTTGAACTCGAAATCGATCTAAATCTAAATAAGGAAATAATATAATAGTTTCTAACATAGATTATTCCATACCTTTGTCGTTATACTTGGTGTGGATATTGATGTAAATATAAATTAGAAAATTTCATATTAGTTTTGAAAATAGATGGTGACATGTCTTCAACTTTGTACTCTATTGAGAATCGAATTTTTAAGACAAATAAATAAATATTATGTTAGTTTGTAAAATATATTGTGAAATTGGTTTGATATGGTGCACGATGTGAACCTAAGTACGAAAAATAAATATTATCATTTTTAAAATAGGAAAGTTAGCAGCGAAGGGAGTACAACGAAGCAGTGAAATTTAACGATATATTTTATGAAAGCGTACGATTAAATGAGATGCTGATATAGAGTAAGGGAAATCTGTAATTAGTATTTATTCATGTGATGGTAGCTGTTATTTATGAGCGGTAATAGTGAAGTAATGCTTATCAGTTTTGTTCCATATATCTCAGAATGGAAACGGTTCTGCGAAATGAAGCCTGTTATATGTATTAGGATACGAGTCTGATTTCTTTCGTTTGTCACTGAAACTAGCAAGGAAAGTTGTATAAGAAATACGGAACGGACTTATATAATTTGGTGTGATGTCGCTAGTTTGCGTTTGTTCGAGAGATAGTGGTTGTGTTTTCGGGATATTCAGAAGTGCTTTTAGAAAACATACTATACGTTTCCACTTTCATTGAAACATTTGATATTTATAATTACAAAAAAGGAGTGAGGAATATTCTTTGTATCTGATACAATGATTGTGAATGTATTGATCATTCTGGTAGCCAGCCTTGATATAAATGAGTGCAAAAGGCTGAGGCTGAACTTGGTTAAAGAATGTGCATTATTTATAATTTGTGTATTTTGTAAGATATGATGAGAGAATATTCTTTACCAAGATTTTTGATTATGTTTTTACTAAAAGATGATATTGTTAAGCATATGTCTTGCTACATTACTTCGATGAAAAACATTCTTACTGTTCCCTGTGATATAATCATATTATCTATATATGAGGGTGCCCAACTTGACTGGTATCCCATAGAAAATAATGTTATTTCAGTTAGAACTATATAATGAATTTTATACCAAATGAAAGCTCGTCAAAAATGGGGTTTACTGACACCAAATAGTAAAGGTTTTGTAAACTTTGTAATGTCGAACTTATAAAATTTCTAGAAATTTAATACACTAAAAATATTAAAAACTCACATTTCCTGTATGGAAGAAAAACACTAAGTTTTCCTATGAAATTAGCTTTTTTGCATTATATCTACTACCTCACATGTTTTGAAATATATTCAATAGATGCAGCATCGAAAACTGAATCGAGTAAGTGTATTTCGAAACATGTGAGGTAGTAGAAATAATGCAAAGAA